CCCCAAAACCCCAAAACCCCAAAACCCCTATTCATCTAATTATGATTGAAATTGATTATCTCATGGGTGATCTATCCCTCTTAGAGAGTTCATAATTCTCGATAATAATATGGGGCCTCATTGAGACGGGCATAGGCACTGATTCATCAAAGAAATTCACCTTTTTCTTCTGGTTTTGAATCGACTGTCTGATTTTTCTCCCCAACAAGGAGAGAGATTTCGCCACATAATGAAGAATTATGGTGTTGGAATTCAGAATCTTCTCCTTTTCTTCCATAAATCTGTTACTTTTGGCTGTGAATTTAAGATCTCAGTCTGTCTCTTGTATCGCTCTCTGGATCACCTGGTCATTGATAATTTTATTCTGTGAATCTATTGATATTTTGGAAAGCTGCAAGAGCACCTTTTTATCTGTAAACGTAGAAAACCTTGTTGAAAGATTCGATTTAGACTTCAAAGGAGAATTACTCATTGATTTCAAAGCTGATTTATTTCTACTCTTCATCACATCTAATTTCTGTGTTAAATTTCTGGAAACATCGAATATCCTCCGGATTTTCCTCTTTTTAGTTGAAGTATTTACTTTCTCATGCTCGTGATGATCATTTTGAACCTCATGCCAACCAAGCAATGGGTTAGGGTTTTGAAGGCATATTTGATTCAAGAATTTCATCAACTATCTTATTCATCTCTCTTTCTACAAATTGAAACTCTTCAGCCATCTGCTTGACAACTGATTTAGTGATACCATAAATATTCTTGGAGATTTTGATATCTGTGTCTGACTCTGCAAGGATTTTCTTTTTCTTGACAATGTCGAAGAGGATCATTGCTTTCTCAATATGAGTAGAGATGAGATACTTCTTCTCTATAATTACCTTCAGTTGGATATTCAGCTTGTCTTTATACTCATCCTTGGCAGTTACTGATTTTGTAATGCCCTTATTTGGCAAATTCCTTCCCGTTGAAAATGGTCGTTTGAAAATTGGTTTTATTTACTACTTTCTATGGCTTGTTCCATACTGGTAGTATAGCTATGAACTACAAAGTTGGTGTTAAAAATACCGATATTATTGAGTTCTTCAAGATAATCTACCTCTGTGTACAGGTTTTCATATTCTACATCCAGGGCATCGATAATGCTTCCTAGTTGCTTTAATAATAGCCTGATAGCGGTATTCTTGACGTTGTGGTCGTAATTTATAGGAATTGTTGAAGTAAGGTCATGCTTATTTACACTCAAACCAGTCTTCATAGTTACTCTCTCCTAGTTCCTTACGGGAGATAGTCGGATTTTCTTTATTCCTCTATGTTTTAACAGAGAAATTACGTCGTTAATGTCATTGGTCTTACGGGCTTTTTTTTGTTTATCCTTGGGCAAGAGAACGTTCAGCATTTGCAGCTCGGATTGGTGAACTCCTTTAGATACTTTCTTAGGCTTTTCTAGAAGTTTTAGCATTGTTGGGTTTTACTACTCTTTTTATAATCTTTTCTTCTATAAGATATTAAGGATATGGGCATTTACCTAACGTAATCGTAGACAACTTTGTTGCATACATCTTTGGACGAAATAGGTGGGTTCTTAAGAGCCTTTCTCATTACAAATGAGTTTGGCTTTATGCGCAAATTTTCACTGAAGCTCAAATGATTTACTAAAATTTTAGAATATGAGTACCAATTTCTTCATTAGTTAAATGATTGTTCAATCTTCATATATATTTCACCCCGTTTGTAAGTTTAATGGTGGAGAAAAGTGGCTTTTTAGGCTTAAAAACTTTAATTTTCTTCTTAACAGATGCCTTTTTCTCTCCGAATTTAAATTTCTGGCCCTTAACCGATAGCCTCTTATCCTTATTATGAGCACTAATAGTATCCCCAAGCAACAAAGGTGCTCACTCCATTGACCTTCCACTTTCCTGCCCATTTCCCTCCTCTTTCTCCTCTCAAAACGACCTACTAACACTCTCCACACCTTTCCTCTCCTCCTCTGACCTCTTCCTCCCTCCAGGCCCTCTCTCTACACCTAAAATCACCCTAAGCTTACCTCTTCCTTCGCTCTCAGTCTTGCCTTCCTTCTCCACTCTCTTCGTTCTAAACCATCCTTCTCTTCCTTACACTTTAGCCTGAACTTTTTGGGTATTGCTGGTGGGGGTCTTCATGGAGGCTTTAAAATCTTTCTGAGTCATCATCTTAAGCTTCTCATTGAAACTTCTGTGCCTAGAGAAATAGGAAGCTAACATACGCTTGGAGGACATTTCGAGACTTTTCTTGGAAATTACTTCGAATGCTTGGTGCTCCAGAAGCCAGAGGTGAAACTTGACCGCATTTTTAGGTTCTGGATTGACCTGTTGATGCCAGATTCGAGGGTTGAGCCTAAGGGAGTTTGAGGAATGAGAATTTTTGGGGAAGGAGTACCGTTTGTTTGAATTTTATTTGAGTTTGCTTGTAGTTGCATCTTTGCCTTTGAGTCTGAATGGGAGAGATGAGGAGAGGGGATTTTGGAGCTAGCTTACCATAGGAGGGAGTTTCTGGTTGAGCTGAATTTTTTTATCTCTCTGGCTTTTCCAGTCAGAGGTCTCATGACTAGCTTTTTTAACTGTTTCTTTGTCTCTTTGAGTTCCATTATGTTTATTTATTTTCCATAAAGTTTGATATTGTGGGGTTTTGGGGTTTTGGGGTTTTGGGGTTTTGGGG